TAGTTTCTACTACTATTATTGTTTTTTATATCACATCACTTTATTTTAAAAATTTTGTTATTTTTTCGCCCAAAAATTATTTTATTCAACTGAAAATGTACGGAACTTCTCCTAACAAATTAATTTATCTCTTCCATATATAGTTAAGAGGATGCTTGGATACAAAATTTTTTTAAAAAAAAATTAAACATTTTATAAATTTAACTTTAATTCAACATCACTATCCCCTAGATATCCCCTAGATATAATTTCAGAATGCGCTGAGCCTACCTGGATGCTTCTGGTGCTTCGGAATCCTACTTGTCGAATAATCATGCTTCGTAATTAGGTTTGGACAAATAATATTGATATATTAATAATTAATAATATAGGTTCGGACATTCTATAAATATTATTTAACTAACTTAGGTACTTTAATATTACTTGTACTAATATAACCTTTTAATTCTTATAATTTTACATAGTGAGACACTAATTACTAATATATCTTTGACTTTTGATTTATTTCCTTCAATTAGCTATTGAATTATAAATGTATTTTAAAAGTTGATAACTTTTGTATTTCTTATCGGTTTTACATATATAATATATCAAATTAATTATCTTTTATGATCTTCGATTTGACATCCATATTATATATATATAAAATAAATAAATTATTATAATATAACACAAGTAAGTCACACAAATAAAAAATGTCATACTAAATATATACTAATATATATATACTTTTTTATAAAGGTATTTAAATTTTTACCTACTTTTTCTCATTATTGTTAAATTTTAAGGAAAAAATTATTAGCAAACACCCGTATAGGCATTGTACTAGTTCTTAATATTGTCAATTTAATTAAATAATATCAATCAATTATTTTACACGCACATAAATTTTAAATCCCTATTCATCAACTTAAATAACTTTAACTAATCATTAGTTTACATCATTTTTCTTCTATATTTACGTTACATTATATTATTTTAATATACCAACTAACAAATAATCTTATTACATTTTTTAAAATTAACTAAACCCAAAAAAAAAAGGTTCAAACAAAATCAAAAAATATTAGACAAAATTGCATATTAATACACTACATTTCATTTTTTTTGCAATTTAATGGCCATGTTTGAAATTTTGCAAATTAATACACCACATTTACCATTTTTTGCAAATCGATACATGAATAACGGTTCCGTTAACAAAAAATCTAACGAAAGTATGAAATGACATTAATTAAAGCCACGTCAATGTCATGTCAGATTTATGTTAATGGAACCGTCATTCATATATCGATTTACAAAAATGGTCGATGTAGTGTATTAATTTGCAAAATTTCAAAAAGTAGTGATTAAATTGTAAAATATGAAAGATGATGTACTAATATATAATTTTGCCAAAACCTTATATTGCATTTCAAGAAATTTGCATCAAATTTATTGGGACATGGTATTATTCACAGTGACTCTAGCTAGTATATAGAGCTACAAAAGAAAAGATAATATAGACTGCCAAAATGCATCATAACTAATAAATGGAGGTTAGCCAAGGTAGCAGTAAATAATAATTACTTTTTGACTGATGGGTCCGAATTTTTGAAAAATGCTACATGTACATAAGACTCACGTGGAATGGGGTTCACTTGATTTTTTAATTTTAGTAGGTCTCACTCAATATGAGTGCTATGTACACCTCTATGTACAGCATTATGTACCTATAGCATTACTCGGAATTTATTTACAGAAGTTGGCTTCACACGGAAGCTAAACTCAACGTCCTCTCCTCTCTCTCGTCTCTATATATATGTATGTAACTCTTCTCATCTTTAGGTAAAAAAAAAACATACAAAAGCTGGTAAAAACCCATATTTACTATCTTCGAAAGGTTAATTGAGCAGAGGTTGTTTATTACCACATTTCAAAAATGCCAATTGCTAATGGCGACGTTACATCTGAAGGCGATTCACATGCGTCTCTTAATCTGAAAGTCGCTTCTCCAGTTGAGCCTCATTTTTTCTCCCACATCGCTATCTGCTAAGATTATAAATTTGTGCTTCATATTTGTGTTTTTTTTTTT